AACGGACGGCGGGTACTGGTTGCGGAGCTCGAAGGATTTGATGTGCTGGGCTTCCTCGACGCACGGGGTGGCGGGGTCCGATATCGATGGACTTGACGTGCGGGGCTTCGACGGCGATGGGGCAGAGGTGGTGTTGCGGGGCTTCGACGATGGGGCAGAGGTGGTGTTGCGGGGCTTTGACGGCGACGGGGCAGAGGTGGTGTTGCGGAGCTTTGACGGCGATGGGGCAGAGGTGGTGTTGGAAGGGGGGGCGACTCCACCACCAATTGCACTAGCGACGTTGATGCGTCCAAACCCGTAGTTGTTGTTGGGGTACTTGGAATCCGACACCCCCCCACAGTTCTGGTTGTTTGGAGTCAACGTGGCAGTGTCTGCAGTGGTTGTGAACGCTTTGTACACTTGATCGTACTTGGCGCCCTTGTTGGCAGACAAGTAGAGGGCAATGGCACCAACGACGTGAGGAGTCGCCATGGACGTGCCCGACTTGATCTTGTATTCCGAATTACCAGTGTTCGACGCTGAAAGAATTTGAGTCCCGGGAGCCGACACATCGGGCTTGATTCGACCGTCTGCCATTGGTCCGCGAGTGCTTTTTGGCGACAGCTTGTCGTCGAAGCCCAGGTTACCCACCGCAATGACATTCTTGTAACCAGCTGGAGTCCACGTCGTTGAGCATTTAGAACCAGTGCTGCCGTTGCAAAACACGGGAATGATGTCCGCAGCGCGCCACGCGTCCACGACGGCTTGGTATGCATTAGAATTCACTTCGTCTCCCCAGCTGTTGTTGATCACGTCAGGCGCCAACTCGCACTTGGGGTTTTTGCCCGTCGCATCCGTCGGGCACATCATCCATTGCGCACATGCAATGAGCACCTCTTCAGCGCAATAGGCGGGGGTCAAGCACCCGCGGCAAGCTATCCACGTGGCACCCGGAGCTACACCGATGCCGTTTTGGCCAACAGCTGAGCCCGCGATGTGGGTGCCATGGCCGTCAATGTCGATAGGGGTTGGGGACTTTTCAATGGCATCGAACCAGCCGTAGGTGGATCGCCAGTTTCCCTTCAAGTCGTCGTGGGTGTGCAAGACACCAGTGTCGATTATACCAACCACGATGCCTTCGCCACGGTTGCCATTAGCCCACACCGCAGGGGCGCTGATGAGGTCGATACCCCATTCGTTCGCAGAAGTTGTGTTGTTGTCAGCCCATCCTTGAGGAATTCCCACGTCAGATTCGTCGTCCTCGGAGGTGACTGAACTGACTTGCGCCGTGACCGGACGACGAATGCGAGCCACATTGTCCAACTTGGCGAGTTCGTCCACCACGTCGCGGTTGACGCCGTACACATGCATGTTGCCGTTGATATAGTAGCTCTCGACACGGGTCGTCAAGGCTTTGGGCTGCGACGACAACAGCTCTCTAGCCGCGCGCTGCGACGTCTCCATGTTGCTCTCCAAGAGGGAGCGCACATGGGCGATGCTCGAGCCGCGATCGTTAAAGTTAGCCCGCTCACGACGGGCGTCTTCCAGGGCGCGCTGATTGCCTCCTTTGAATTCAATCACAACGTCCACGTCCTCATTGGATTTCAAGTGGCGGTGGACGCTGGGGGCGACTTTGGCTGTGGCGAGAGCAGCAAATGCAGCGATGTAAGTAGGCTTGACCATGATGCAGTTGCTGGCAAATTGAAATGTGAGCCCTGTAAGGAAATAGAAATAGATAGTATGAATTGTTAGACAGTCTGTTATTGTGAATTCGGATGACATTTCTCGCATGTGATCATCGGATTTCGGGCTGGGATTATTCGCTCCTGTATCAAAAGCCTGACCCACAGCCCCCTGCTCCGTACTTGCTTTGCATAGGCCTTGAATATGTGAGCTCAATGTGTGAGAAAAAGTTTGCCGATGATAACAACATCACCCACTGGGATCAGGGCTAGGGGGGCGAAGCGACCCATAATGCCTGAGTTGGGTAGGGGACAGATGGAGTACATGCGGGGATGACATACGAAGCCGGAGTCTACTGTATCAGTGTTGAAGGTGGGATTGGTTGCATGTTGTACGCACTTTTAATTAAACGGAACCGTCCATAATAGGTTGACTCTACTTAGATCGATGATAGTAGCAATTGACATCTCAGATAGGTTTACTGTGTGCTACACGAGGTCCCTTGGAAGTGCGTGAACGAACCCCAGAGGAAATCATAATATGAAGAGAGGAGAATAGCAACCACCGCAGCCATTGCAGGTCGACGATGGGGAAGGCGTCACATGAAAACTAGG